CTAAGCTATTGCGATACTCATGACCCCGACCTTACTGAACACGCAGATGCTCGATGTGGTTAAGATCACTCTTCACGGATATCATTCGTCGATTTCGAAAACATTTTCTTTTGTCGTTTGATGTGACCAAGGCAAATAAAAGCCTATTGCTTGCACCTGGATATCGTAAAGCAAAAGTGAGGCCATCAAACAATGTCAGTCCGCCAAGCCAACGCCATGATGCTTTCCACTCCAACAGTGCTGTCCTTCTATTAGTGTCAGCACCCAGACCTCTTTCCCAATATCCGATACCACTTCTACCGTATGTGGTTCTTCCTTATCCAACCCGACAAATTGCGATTGGCAGTCAACATGCAAGTTAATTATCGAAACACCTGCTTTTGCCAAGCGCATCTTCCAACCCAATTCTTCCTGTGAGCTCCAGTCACCCATGATCCATTGATAGGTATACGTGGAATCCATTTAATTACTTTTCCTTTGTTCGGAATTTTTTCCAAAGCCAGGTCTCGGAAGGGGAGAACTTTTGATGGTCCAACTCCAAGTGCAGCGCTGAATTTCTTGTTTCTCGCGACCACTTGCACGTCCGCACCAGTGACGGTTGATCCCGGTTGTCCAAGCCGGCTGACCATCTTTCTGAGCCTGACCCACACATGACCCCGCTGGAGGTTCTGTGACGGCTCCCGCGCTTCCACACTTTGGACGCCGCCCTCGCGGCTCCGGACGTGCAATCATCCCACTGCCAACTTCGCCTAACCTATTCTCCACAAGTTCTGTGCAGAATAAACTATTCCTCCACCTTGCGTCCCATTGCTTCTCGCCTCATTGGGAGCCGGGCCTGGAACTCGTAAAAGCTAGGGTTTTCACCAAAAACTTAAGCTTAAGCGATAAGTCCATCCAAATGCGTTATCTGAAATGTAATGATAATATTGCCCACGTGATAATTTTACCTTTAAACTTTACGGGAAAGCGTTTTTCTACTAAAGGTGTTCTTGAGAATACTTAAAGGGTCATTTTTGAAAATAATCACGAGTGAAACGCTGCCGCACGTAATAGTATTTATACCAATTGAGGAGACAGACTCAAAATTCGGAATCTTATTTCGCACTTAATGGCCCGTACTTGAGACCGTTATCAGTTCCCTACCTCAAGCCTCTAGTAGTTTGAGTCAGGGAGAATTTCCTATGAGCCATACGTAGGCGGCATTTCTGGCTTTTACAGTCCTTGCTAGGCTCGCCCTAAAAACCATACTCACTGCGGTAGGCCTTTACGCATGTGCAATAGGAAACACCATAAAAAGTTCTGATTCATATTACGGACTTAAGCGCATATGCGGAATACAGAGACGGGCTTTTTAGACGCGCGCCTCTTTTTGTTTCGAAGGAAACGTGCACGTCAGTGCTTGCAGTCATCTAACTGTGTTCATCGATTGCTTTGGGCATTCCAACTGCGAGCTCTAGAGGAGTGCCCCACAAGTCCGTGGCTGAGTTAGACCGAGCGAAAAACATGCATGCGATTAAACCCTTATGAGTGTGTGCTGCACGCACGAGGTCTTTTCATTTAAAATACTGGACTGTCTTATATCTTCCTGACGATACGTTTAACTCTTCCAACCGATGGTGGTTTATGAGTCTTCCTAAAGAGTCTGGCCGTAAACGTTGAGGAAGACTTTCGGTCAAAATTTATATGAAGGTTGTTAGTGTAAAGTCCAGAAAGTCAGCCATTTTGCCAAAGCTTTTGAACACTCAGTTTCTTTTTATTCTCCCTAATGGGTGTTGTGCACCTATCATATAATTCCACCAAAGTCATGTACAAGTCTAGACTCTGGTCTAGTCCTTGTCTGAGGAGTGCCAACCGACTAGTGTACCAAACGTACTAGACTGCGTTTTTACATCAGTAAAGCGTGTGGGTGGAAATAGGCAGACGTTTTTTGGTTCCCAGGTAAGCTGACTTTAGTAATTTGTTGGTGGCCCATGGTAATGAAAGGAGGCTTGGAACCAATCTTGCACCGATATGCCTTACCATAGTATGCGACATGTGCCCTTGAGGAGCTTCGTTGCCTTAACTACTGTGACCTGCATAGGTGTTAATTAACCTTGCTATCGAAAGTTCTGTTATGTATACGTCATCTTATGCCGTCTTATTAGTACTTCTATCGCGCGCATCAAATCTAATTCTTGACAGCAGATAAACCAGCACACGTAGGAGACATGTGACTTGCTGCTGTTTAGTACCCACACCCGATTCCATAATGCAGTGGTTATGCAAAGAAAAAAATAACATTATAACTATCGTATGTTTCTTCTCTGTGAAGTAAACCGCACTTGAGTGCTTATTGTATGCCCACTGATTAGGCATCAGCGCAAATGGAAGCAGAATCTAAGCATAAATGCATAACTAATAAAGACAAACGAGACAGGAATGATTATTTCTGGCTAATTAGCCATCATCAGTTGTCATAACTAGCATAACTGATTGCGTAATACGGGGCTCAAACTCCTGAACTGTTGATCAGAGATCAACGACCCCAACTGTTGAGCCACGGACTCGTTGTCGTGTCGATTGCGGCCGATGTTATAGTAATATTGTTATTGAGCGCTTACCAATCGTGTTACGGGATGCAGTTGCCTCTTTGTGCTTTGGACCTCAACCTCGAGCCCCACTATAAGTCACTACAGGGGTACTGTATTCCAAGCAGTGATATATTTCCGACAAACGCAAAATATACTTAAATGGCCATTTCTGACTTATCTGTGGCTAGCAACCAGCGATACCTGATCACAGGGATTGTAGAGCCCGAGATCTGCCGGTTAGAAGTCAAATGCCCTAAACATTGAGGCACTTAGCGGCTGCTGGCGATGCTCGCGGATGAGGCCTAAGTTACAAATAGACAATTGTTTCTGATAACGTTAGCGGTGAGTGCTCGACAAATGCATCATGAGAACCACGGCTGAAACACAGACGCATAGCTGTGGGGTAATGGAGTTGAGGCCCTTACGGCTGCGGACGCGCGTTTGTAGCAGCTTTCATCTTCCTCCAATCCACTCTCTAGTAGCTCTGTACGGAATATACAATTCCTTTCACCTGACTTCTCATTACTTCCCTTCCCAAAAGGAACAGGGCCTGATGATCGCTGTGGCTAGGGTCTCCCTTATTAATCTAAGCCACTGCAATAATACTATCGGTGGTATAAAGACTTACTGTACTTCTTACCCTAGCCTTACCCCGAAAGCTACAGTTCAACTTAACTCTAACCATTAAATAAAACTTAAGCCAGAGTTTATTGGAATTAAGCTAAAACGTGCATCTATTGGAAACTTCTTCTGTTCTCATGTTCTGTTGAGGGAGCTACTTAAGTAACCGTTTCCGATATAACTAGAGGGATTTGATAAATGAATATATTAGTTGGCCAAAAGTCAAATACGTTTGAAAATAGCCGGGAAAGGTTACTTAAAAGCCCAAATTTAAAATTATATCGGTTGTTGGAAATAGTTGACTTTATCTTTCTGCCATTCTCAATACTCCATTCAAGTGCACGCATACACGAATTGGTATGGAGTTTCTAGGCATCGAATCTAGATGACTGAAAACAAAATGATCAACGGACCGCGCAAAGTTCTGCACATACCATGACGGTGTAGGTGATTTCATTGAGCCAGGGGATGTAAACGAATGTCTGGAACCATCGACCGATCACGCCGGAAACGAAAAAGCCCAAAACAAAGGAGACAGGTATTTGGGTGCCAATTTCCTCGCAGTACGCCACCATAACATGAAAAGTACTGAAATAAATGAAAACCTACTGTAATCTTCCAATTAGGCTTCATTTCGTTTCAAGTAGACTTATTTAGTGTCACATACATAGGTATAAGAAGAGCCTTAAGATAACGTCACACACCCAGTCAAGAATAGAGGAAAAGGATACCGGACTTACTCTTGCTGGTCGGAATTAAGTACAAACCAGTACAGTGCGTTTATGAGGTAATAAATAATCAGGTAGGCCAGTAGGTCCACCCAGACAAGTTTGTAAAGGCTGCCCTTCCACCTAAAAATAACAAAGAAGAAGACAATTTGTCTTTTACGATCGAAGAAACGATGCGAGCTCCAGGAAGCAGTTCAGAAAAAAGTGAGACATAATCACAGGAAATTATTTCTATTGGTCCAACGTTTTGGATTCTCACACGAATCGTTCATCAGACAGACCGACGGATCATTTGCTGGGTCACACCTTCAAAATGCAGGGGAGGCTGGCCCATATGGATGTTCGACGGAACGCCTTCTCACAGAGGCAAGTTGGAGCGTGGAACGGATTCCCTGACGAAGTGGTCTTTTCAGATACTATTGAGACATTTAAACGCAAACTGGACTCTTATTTGCTGAGAAACTGTGACACATATAATGAAGTTTGTATCAGTAGCGGCAGTTCGCAGCTGGATCTAACGAATCGCTGATTTTTCCACTTCATTTTTCATATGTGCTACTGCTAAAGTTGAATTCTTCTGCGAATTTTGGATATGAATAGGGAGCTCAAGGGCAAGAGTCTCCCCCCTCCCTTAATAAAGTGACCTTAAGTGACTACAGTAGTCGCCGAAGATCACGCAACCTGTCGAAATATGCGAAAAATTGATAATCCTTCGCTAATCGGCATTGACTCAAGTTTTAATACTGATTATCGCGAAGTCTATTCTGAAGTCATTTCAGTCCTGATAAAATGCGGGCTTTTTAACGAGCTTCGTTCTGACCACTAACAAAAAGTATCTATGGTAAAAACTGGCTACTTATGTAGTATGCCTTTTTATAATTTACTTTGACTGCCTTTATAAAATCAAGTATATTTTACGGAAGATATGGACGAAACAATTATCTATTGCACTTACTTGATAGCAAATTACGCCTTTTTTTAAATTTTATATTCAAAGAAAGGGTATCTCTCGGTTTTAAAAAAGTTTCTCAGTTGCCGAATAATTTTCTAGACCACTGACTGCTACACTCGAATTCAAGGTTTAAAAACTGCGCACTGTGTACATCCTGCCTAAGGAAAAGTACGTTTTCACCTGTAGTTTGAGAAATAAGTCACATAGTTGTCATTAATAATATTGCAATGGATGTGGAGCATGTTTGATACATTATAGGCAGGATTAATAAATTGACGGATACGATGTATTATGAATAAACATCTCACAATTAAAAAAAAAGCCCATTATAGGCAACATTTTTAAAACCGAAGGAAACCCTTCTTTTAAGAATAAAATTTAAGGAAGGAGTAATTTGCTATCAAGTAAGTGCAAGAGATGATTTTTCGTGCATATTTTCCATAGAATATATTTGAATTTATAAAGGCAGTCAGAATAAATGATAAAAAGGCATACTTCATAAGAAGCCAGTTTTTACAATAGATACTTTTTGTTATTGGTCAGAACGAAGCTCGTTAAAATACCCGCATCCTATCAGGACTGAAATGACTTCAGAATAGACTACACGATCATCAGTATCACAACCTAAGTCAATGCCAACTAGCAAAGAGTATTAATTTTTCGCATATGTCAGCATGTTGCGTGATCTTCGGCGGCTACTGTATGCGGCCTCAGTTGACACAACTGATGGTAAGCCTGGTGAAATGATTAGAGCAGTCCTCTGGAAACGAAGGACTTTCTCCAACTCTGAGCGTCATCCCTTTTCGTAGGCTGCGCGAGTGTGATGCATTAAGGCAACTCCTGGCCACCAAGGACCTCTTTATTATTTCGACCGACACGGGGCAGCTGACTACCTTCAGAACACAAAAAGCTTGGCGGAGTATAGCCAGTGCAATGTTCCTTGCGATACCAACACTAAAAATGCTGGCAAACGAAAATAATGCGGCGTCCTTGTCAGCGTACAACTCGGGTGCAATAATACCGACAAACAAATGCCTAGCAAGAGAACAAGAAATGACTTAACACATATAAGTGGCTTGCTAAAAGTGCGTACAGAAGGTGTTACTCTCTGGCCCTTCATATCTCGCAGGAGCATTCCGACCTGCGGACTGGCAAAGTGGTTGTTGCGGCGTCTTAAATTTCTGATTGCTGCTTCGGTCAAGATTCAGTCCGTTCACGCAGTTCTTGAGGGAACTTATAGAAGTAAGCCTCCTGTCAAATGGCACTACAGTTTCTTTTGATGTCTTTTTCCCTGTTTGCTCCTATCCCATAGGTTGTGATCACCAAATTAATCCTACGACATAAATACCATGAAATAGAGGATCGCTTCTGACACGTAAAAGTTGCCCAGCTCTTGAACTTCTTCTCACGACATACTGCACCTGTGACGGACCAATCTACAAAAAGGTTGTAATTTCGGAAGTTCGCAATTACCGAGGCGGTCTCAGAACGATTTCATTCGCTGGTTTTCCGACACCGCAGACTGAAAATCCGGTCCTCATACCTGGGTGACACATTCTTCGTCATAATCGAAATAAATCAGTTGCTGGAAATCAAAATACATTTAAACACCGTCTTTTCGAACATACGGTTTACGATTTAGGGGTAAAGAACAAAACAGCTAAACTTTCCTGGTATCATCGTCTTACGCCAGAATTGTGCTAGTGTCTTCGAGAAGTTAACAAATGCAACGCACGTAGTGAGCTTCAATCGCAAATTATATACACCATAACGGTTGATCGACACATATTTATGTAAACTGCAGGATATGGTTGCTAAATTACAATAATTTCGATGGGTACTCACGCAACTTCTTCAGCCGGTGCATTCGTAAACACGATGAAGGATCAAACTGCACCAACACCGACTTTTGGCGAGTGGTGCCATGCATGAAGACCCTTTCGAAAGCCGTAGCTATATCCACGCACTAACCGGGATTGAGCAGGCACATAAACCAGAGGCAACTATCAAGTGTCATGTAACGAGGTCGGATGAAAAACTAACGAGGCAAACAATTGGGAGCTAATGCGGTTGCACGTAAAACAAGTACCTCGGAAAAACTGAAAACAGATCTAGACGCGGATCATTGAACATAAAACAGCAGTTAGAGGAAGGGTGCTAGAATTCGGGTCACGGAG